TGCCTTTATCTGATGTGATGTGGGGATCCTAATGATTCATCCATGCAAATGCCAAAAGATAAGTGAGACCAAATCTAGTGAGAACTGAAAGTATTTGAAATGTGCTCATTCAAATTCAAATAATAACAATAAACTATTATGGACAGCATTTGAGCACTGAGTTTTTCACTCGTAAGTTTTGATAGCGTTAATTATTTTGAAACATTGTAACTTCTTGACACAAAATAAACGTATTGGCAACAAGCTGAATGGTTCAGAAAAATAAGTACTTGAAAGAGGATATGTGGAACAAACAGAATTTTTCTAGTTATACTAAACAGAGAAACAAACACAAAAAACCCACTTGATAAAGAGCCACATAAGGACTCTGTCACAAAAGACTTGCTCACAAATCTAAAAAATCACATTTTTACATTACACTTTAAATTAAAGATTGAATAAAACAAAGTACACACAGCGAAAAAATTGTTATAAAAATTGAAGCCCCGAGAAATGAACTCCGTGAATGTCTTGAGTTTATTGAGCAGGAAACACAGAAGATATTTGATTTATAAATTTTCTGTAAATTAAAACCCAAGTCCTGAAGTCAGGGTAAATATCACACAAAAGAACAAAATGACTAGAATAATTAATGCCATTTGCCAGCCTACATTTTCACCTTGTCTGTCAATCCATCATTCAAATTGATTCGGTTACACATACAAGACATGTTATATTAAAAAGCTCACAATATACATCAGAAAGAAGTACTGCGATACCATAAGTCACACACAACATATTAAACTCAAGTTCAAGACCTATAAATAGTCTAAACTGCTTGTTACTAATAGACTGTAAACTGTACAGAAGATTTACAAAAAGAAGTGAGAATCCCTGGCCAGACAATTGCACACTATGTTGGACCGAGAATCTCCTGGCGAGCACTGCAACATTCCTTACTGCTACCCTACTCTTCACATTAAATGCTGAAAAATGATGAAATGGTATGGGTTTAACGCCCCTATCAACACTATTAGGTTATTTAAGAGGTGGAACCTCCGAGTTTAACGTCTGTCTCCGAAAGAACTGAGCCAAGTCGGAAATTCGTGTACAAGCCCTTTCCTAAGGTCACAACGTTGGACCCAGCTGAGGCTTGAACCCCCAAACCCGCAATGTCATGATTACGAGTCTGGTAGCATAACCACTAGGCTGTTGACACTACCATTAAATCAGCTGTCTAAGTACCAGAAACAACTGTGGAACTGAAAACCACAGATCAAGATCAAGAGCATGATTACTGGGCTAGACAAAAGGGTATATAATAAATAAATGAGGTAAATTATTTTATGATTGTTTTCCCACACATAAGGACTTGTTTATGCTGGAACGCAGTTTACCTAGAGATTACTTTTGCAGTAATGACAGAGACTGCTTTGCTGCTTGCAAGTTGCCGCTAGTCTAAAAAGTGAAATAAGTATTGACAATAAAAGATCATTGCCGTTTTAGTACCTTAGAATGAACATACTGTTGATAGGCTCCGGTGTTCCAATTTCGTTATATCTAGTTTCTGTCTATTCAAGATTCCAATTGATATACTTTGCATTTGAACAAGCGATTAGGCAGAAAGTAAAAATGGTGCTTCAGAAATAACGTTATTTGTCGCATACGAGCCATTCATCGAATTTGTCATTGTAGTTCCAATTTTTTCATATCATGTTTGCAGCAATTTCATTGCATGCCTGTGACTTGGTGTGGAAATCCAGCACGAGGCAGCTTTTGATGTTCACTCTTTATAGGTTCATTAAGGAATAAGGTGTCTATCTTGAGTTTATTTTCACACGTTTAATTTCTTTTTTTAAAAACTCAAATTATTTAGCTGATTATGATAACAACAGGCCTACTAGATGAAATCGGTACAACACTTTCCCCTCTTCAAGAAGGCAGAAAACATGAAAGGGTCATTTGGTGGGACAGAAAGTTTGGTTTGTTTTAAATTTGAGTTGGAAAAGGATCACAGGGGGAGTGTGCTGCAACAAAATCGGACCACTGATGAAATTGAAAAGGTGAGGAAATGGGCACACCCTACCCTCTAGTTAACTTTTCCCTTTTGTTTATTTTCCTAAGACAAACATATTTAGTGCTGACAAGGTATCAATAGCCCACACAGAAAAAAAAATGAGCAAGTTGGAGCAATAAAAGGTGAAAGGTGACTACTCTACCATGAACTTAAATACACTGACTAGTTTTAGATATAAAAATTACCTTTTTTAGCTAAATATAATGCATCATATATACATATACAGAACAATAGAAAAGCACAATATTTTTCTAATAAAAACAATATACTTTATATCGATCATATAGCAATAATACAAAACAATAAAAATCAAGGGTAGTTCATAAGAAAAAACCCACATTCACTGCGAAAGGGAGGGGAACAAACAACAAAGATTTTGTTCAGGCACATTATCACAGTTGGATAAAAATTTCCTCACGACATCTGATATCAACAACTATAATACTGTCAAAACAACATGAACTAATATTTAAAGCTATGATAAAATACCTACACCTTCCCCACAGAAGTCGGTAAAGAAGGCAAAGATGTAAAAATGTACATGCTGAAGAAACATGATGCTAAAAAGTAACCTGCTTTGTGTGAAAATCCAGCATAGTAAAGATGGAGGAGCAATTAGTGAAAAACTGTGTTTATGAGTATGTTTGTGTGTGTGTGTGTGTGTGTGTGTGCGTGTGTGTATTTGTGAGTACTGACATTCAGTTTAAGAAACTCCATATTTCCTATACTTCCTCCTCCAATCCATCCAAAGTTTGATCTTAAATGCTTCCTGTGTATTTATCATACTTTGTATAGAAAAGGGTACAAAACCTGACACTATGTTAAAAAATGAAGAAATTTAGAAAAAAAGATATTACACACACAAGACCAATAGTGAGAACCGTCTTCAGTTTTCAGTTTCATGTTCTTTCAGTCATGTACAGAAAAAGAAGGGGAAAAAAATGATTCAATGATTAAGACATACTATGAATGTGCAACTTTAAAAGCTTTGTAATGCAGGTCATGCCAGCTGCTGGAGGAAAATATTGATCACAGCTTTTCTTTCCTTACAGAGTGGGGTAAAGGAGTCTATTATTGGCAAAGTATTGACCTGGTCAACAGATGTTGAGGGTCTGTGCACAGCCTGTCAATATACACCTACTTAAACATTAGAAAATGTTCAGTCTGAAAAATATTGGAGCTGGTAAAAGTAACAAAAGATCTGGTTGTGTTAAAAAAAAAAAAAAAAGAAAGAAAAAGACCTGAAAGCTTTTATTTGTTCTGATCAAACATTTAAGACACATACTAACAAAGACTAAACCCAAGTGCAAACTTGATAAAAAAAAGACAGTGTACATGTTAAAAGCACAGAACTTTTAGCAGAGGGAACTTTTCGTCTTTGTTATTCTTTATGCATTATTGTTATACTAAAAAAAAGCCCCACTAAACAAAAGTCCAATGCAAATAGAAAATAAGCTTTTATGTAAAAAAACAACCCCAAAGCAGCTCTTATACGACCCTCAAAACTTGTCTGTTTTGTCTCTTATAATGCTCTTGAAAAAAGAACAGACAGTACATCCTTTAATTTTTAACCCCTTTTCCTCCGATTTAAGAATTTCTTTCTACAAAAGTGTGACTACGTCTTTCATAATTCAAGTCTCCCCTTTAGTATGTCAACCAGCAGGTAACGATCGCAGAAAAATTGGGGGTGCCATGAAATTAAGTGCAATGTCCTGTAAACACCACTCTATATCTCAGCCATTGTGTGAATGTCTCTATCCCCCATTTCCCCATTGTAACTCATGTGTGAAAACATTGGAGCATATGTTCAGCAGTGCCAACTGAGCATTTCACCTTACTTCACAGGCTTTCTAAACTTGCTACATGGGTGTCCCATCATGCTGGCCATCAATGTAATAATCAGTATGACATGAGGGAAAAAGTGTGGATCTTCTTCAAATTTTAAAAAGTTTTAGTAGAGGTTTTACGGAGCTCACAACTGCATAAGGTCATATGAGTGCCAGAAGATTAGAGGTGTTACAAGAGAGTAACAAACACAAAAAAGAAGGAGGGAAGATAAAGACAATAGATGTTTGATAGGAAAGAAGAAGCAAACCACGCCAGAGCACCGGCCAACCACCCACTTTCTTCAAATGTTTTTTAACTTAAGGTTTGATCATTATGTTATTGATTGATCAATCTAATATATTGATTAATCAATCTAATCTATAACTCTGGACACCAAATGGATCTTTTCCCTCACAAACACAATTTGTGCTATGACCAACCAAATTTATCTTCAAGCAAATGATGAAAACACAGCACATACTAACAAATGGAATAGCACAAATGAAAATCATGAGTAAAAACACATCTTAAAAGTTCACAAAAGAAAGCAACTTACTTAAACAATGAAGCAAAAGATATTTTGGAAAAGCTTAAACGAACAGTGTGAATACTAAAGACTAAAGTAGGGAGTGGTTAAAGAAAATCATCACAGATCATTATGGGGGGGGGAGTAATACAAGATAAACATATTGTGTATGCCTGTGATTAAGAACTTTGCCCACTTAGTACTTAAAGCTTCCTTGCTTAAAAGATGAGTGAAAGTCGATATCATGATCAATATGAGTGACAAATGTGTGGATCTAAAATTGTCTTATATCGGCATCGTATCACTGTTAACTGTTAGGTACAAACTCACATAAGCTTTCAAAATTATTTCCCCTGTGGAACAGCATTTTTGAAACTCATAAAAAATGAAAATACCATTACAGTGAATCATGTCTGGTACCAAATACTTCGCATCCTATTCAGAATAATCATTATACATAGAAATCGCCAGCACTTTCACAAAATCCACAATAGTGAACATAAGGATACAAAAAAATTATTTTAAAATTTAAAAAATCCGTGATCATTAAGTAACTACACTTTGTCATCACAGAGCTCTTTGATATTTTACTCAAAACAAAATGTTAGGCAAAAGTGTGCACAGAGGTATTGAAAATATAAGAATAAAAAGAAAAAAGTAAACAATAAATATTTCGGATAAGTCTTTTTAACATGTATAGCGGACTTGCGCACAGATGAGACCTTAAAAGCATTCTATATTTTTGTGGCTTCATAGACTGATCTGATTTAGATTGCTAAATTGACAGCTTTAAACAATCAAATTTAGCCTAATCAACTAATTAGATAACAAAATTTCAAGGATAAAATTGTAGTAACATTGTTTAAAGCCAGAACAAAAAATGGTATGTCACTCTCCTGAGCTAATTCCTTTGTCTAAAAGGACGGAATCACAGTTTCAAAAATTCAAGGATGAAGAAGATCAAAGCAACAGTTTTCTGGTATTGATTAATTAGCTTCGGTATTTATACATTGATGCATATAGAATTCAAGGTAAAATTCCATAAAATTGAGCACACATTCTCCTTTAGTGAAATAATCTGGGGTTGTTTTTTTTTTCGAACAGGTTTCTACATAAGATTTTTTATGGAAATTGAGAGACAACAGTTTTTTAAGATCTAACCCAGCAGCTTTATAAGTGTTTATAACCCGCCCCACACATATTTCTATTTTTACTCTAAAGATAGTTTGTCATTCCCACACCTTTTAGTTATAGTTGGATACTGCTGAAGTCAAAACTAGGCTTAAATGGTAACAGTGAGTCTATATCTGAGAAATTTAAGTAGTTCAACAGGATGTGTGGAATCCTAGATGGAATGATGAACTGGCGGGAATAAGGGCTGCTGGAAAGGGCGAGGCGGCATGCATGGGTTAGGGAAGGAACAGCCCGCGGCAGCTGATAGCACCACTGTGCTAGGTCAGGGCTCACCCGAGCCATGTAGCTCAGATCGGCCTGATCTTTCCACTTCCAGCCGAAAATAGTGACGTAGACGACAAGTTTGATAAAAAGACTCTCCTTTCCCTCTCTCGACTCCCAGTGTGAGTCGAAATAGTACGGGAAACAAGAGATGATGCGTGACAAAGCATCTTTGTGATGAGCTTTAATAAGTTTCATGGTGAAGTCCGATGCACGGAGAAGGAACTCATCACTGTTTGAGCCAGAATACAAGGGCTGGTTGCGGTGGAGCTTGACCAGAAGCAATGTGTGCATGTCTAGGGAGGTGGAGCAGTCAATAAGGGTGCAGATAAGACGTAGTATGAACTGGTCATCATTCAACTTAAGCGCTGTTCGAACCACATACAGCATTGCATCGGGACAAGCTGGCTCTGCTCCAGCTTCTAAAAGAAGCTCGAGTATATCCCAGCATGCACTCTGTCTCGGCTCTTTTTGGTTGTCATACACCATGACCTGGAAATAAATGATCCTGCCTGTAGACAAACTTTAAGCAAAGAAAAGGAATACACACTATTTGTTACTAGAGTTTTGCAAGAGACAATTTCAGATCTATAGAAATAAGTCCACCTTGCAATGTGCGTAGGTTGCGTATCTCACTACGGAATAAGAGTTTTAAAATATCTGAGATTTCACTGTTGGCCCTGTATGGGCTGTAAAGAAGTCTAATGTCCTACCAAAAGTAGATTGGACACAATGTAGCATAGCAGCACATTTATACATTTCAATCCACTTCTGCAATGTGTTAATATTTGGCAGAGTTTTATGAGCGATAATCTATATTGCAGTTCAAAACTATGTCTGATGAATAAGGTCTAAATTTTTCAGAGAGAAATTAATGACATGGTTCGACAGGACGATTTGATTTGGCTAACAAAAATTACTTTATAGGAATAATGTATCACCAAAAGCAGCTTGTCATGATGACAGCTTTTAAAAGTAAAAGTAAACCCCTCCTAGTTCAAGCCACCTTTCACTTCAATATATACCCGGTCAAACGGGAAAGCGCATTCTTGAACGTATCAACACAATTGTTTTTATTGTACTTTTCCTCATTAATACTTTTTAAAAAACTGTTGACCGTTTTTCATACAGTGTGACTCACAAGTGCCAAATCCAGGGGAGAATAGTAGTTGATGTTTTGATGGCCAAGGTCACAGCCAGGGGAAGACAGCAAGGTTCTTACTACAGCCCTGCGACTCAGCTTCACAGCAAGAAACAAAGGCGAGTCCCTACGATTGTTCAGGCACATGTTGACATCAGCCTGAAAGGAAAATGGATACACAACATCGTGAAAAGAGTAAGATCATGACACAGTACATACTTTCAACTACAGCCGAACCAGCCATGACGGCCACCTGTATAATATGGCCACTTTCCATTTCCTCCTCGTGTTTTTACTATATAATTTAACGGTGCAAAATGGTCACCCGTACAACGCAGCCCCGGCCACCTTATTTTATCAACCCACGGTCAAATTTACCTGCCTCAGGCGGCCAGGCGTGGTCACTCATCGCCCGACACTTTAACATAAATTCTGAATCGGCCCCTCACGCTGTGGACTGGCCGTCATAATTCATTCACCTGTCGTTATTGTTAGTCCCTCCAATGAATGTTTACCCAAGTTGACCAATGGGTAGGCCTAACAATAAATTTTCAACTGCTGGAGAGGGAAGCGTGTGATCTGTCATAACCTATAAGCCCCCCACCCCCCACAACTCATGCACAAATCAAATGTGAAGTGGCTGGCCACTGTTTTGTTTAGCTAATCTGTAACAAAGTAACAATGGACATTGACGTGAACTTGTGACAGAAACGTCCCTCGTTCTCTGAGTGGTGGCGGCCCGTGCGTTTGTTTTACCATGGCACTCAGTCTTCATTGTCTTACTTACATAATATTTAGTTTATTTTACCCTTGCACAAAATCAGCAACAAAAAGAAAGCTAACCAAAGAACAAAATAACAACACAAAAAACACTTCTTGCACTGCCCACCCCCCTTTTCAAAAGAAAACAAAAACCCTTTTGAATTAGCCTTACGGCAGTCTAAAGCCTAGGATCAGCACGGGTTTGGACCTCAGAAGAGAATGATTAACTTTCTTCATTTTGATCAGTCCTGCCTAAGAAATCCACCTTTCTCCTTCACAATGGGTGGCCGTTTTACACAGGTTTGACAGTATTTTTTTTGCAGAGCTTATTTTCAACATTACAACACAGTGCATGCTTTCAACTATTCTTTTGCAGAACCATATTTACAAAATCCCATATCAATGAGTAGATACAGGAAAAAAATTTGTTTGATACTAAATATAAACCTGCATTATTGGTACCCATGAAAACAAACAAATATATGCACATGTCCACTACAGAGAAAACTCAAAACGTAGTGATCAATACCAAATGCTGAATCATGTTAAACTGAACTTTATTACTCTGGGAGGGTGGTGTTTGGAGCGTACCTGTTGTAGGAGGTTTTCAAGAACATCAGCCTGATTATTTATGATGGCAGCTTCAACTTGGGATGAAAAGTCTGTCCGCTGACCAGATGCCATGGTGTCCCATTTGTCTCTTCAACCTTCTGCCACAGTCAATGTATACTCCTTTAACCTGCAGAAAACCAGTTAAAGAGTGAGATTCTAAGAAAAAGATCATGTATTCCTATTGAAACTTCATATTTTAGTTTTCAAATAGGAAGTGGAGAGAGAGAGAGAGAGAGAGAGAGAGAGAGAGAGAGAGAGAGAGAGAGAGAAAGGATAGAGAGAAAGAGAGAGGAAGGAGAAAGAGAGAGATAGAGGAAGGAGAAAGAGAGAGATAGAGGAAGGAGGGAGGGAGCGAGAAAGAGATAGAAGAGGGAGGGAGAGACAGAGAGAGAGAGATAAAGAGATGGAGAGAGAGAGAGAGAGAGAGAGAGGGATGGAGAGAGAGAGAGAGAGAGAGAGAGAGAGAGAGAGAGAGAGAGAGAGAGAGAGAGAGAGAGAGAGAGAGAGAGAGAGTTCACAAGAAGCCTTGAAGAGAAGTCATAATCATCATTGCCCTTCTCACCCTGGATCAGGATATAGGCCACGAACAAACACTTTCCACCTTTCCCTGTGCTGGGCAAGTTGCTCGATGTCACTCCATGCCTTCCCACTTTTCTGTACATCCTTTTCCGAGACTCTTCTCCAGGTTCCACATGGTCTTCCCCTTGATCTTTTACCCTGTGGGTTCCAATCTAACACTTTCCTCATTACGCAGCTGCTTGACTTCCTGAAAGTGTGCCCAATCCATCGCCAACGTCTTCTTCCCACCTCATCTCTGACTGGACTCTGTCTCATTCTTCTTAATACTTCCTCGTTGGTGATCCCGTCTGTGCATTTGATACTCAGTAACTTCCTTAGATGCTTGTTCAAGAAAACCTGGATCCTCTTTATGCAAGCCTGAGATGCGTTCCATGTCTCACATCCATACAACAAGACTGACTTCACATTTGAGTTGACAATCCTCAGCTTTGTTCATAGTGAGATATCCCTGGTCCTCCAAATCCTATTCAAAGAAATAAATGCATAAATGCAGTCTGTTCCTTTCCAAAGTGGGACTTGATTTCAGCGCCCGTTCCTCCCTCTCTGTCAATTATACTCCCAAGAAAGCAGAGGGATTCGACGTCTTCTAGTGCATTGCCCTCTATTGTGACCTGCTCCTTTCGTAGTGCATCTATCTTTAGGACTTTTAACTCCGGGGTGGATCCTCAACCCAACAGACTGTGACAAACTGTATAAAATTGTAGTCTTGGCTTGCATCTGTTCCTGAGTGTGCGACAGAAGCGCCAAGTCATCTGTAAAATCCAGATCATCCAATAACTGTGTCCGTGAGGTCCAATGTATGCCGTTTCTGTGTCCTCTGGTGGTTTCCTTCATCAGCCAGTCGATTGCCAAGATAAAGAGGAAAGGTGATAGCAAACATCCCTGTCTCAACCCAGTCTTCATGTCAAAGCTGTCAGTGAGCTGGCCATCGTGTATAACCCTTCAACTTGTCCCTTCGTACATGTTCTTGATTAGGTTCACCAACTTCTGTGGGATTTCGTGATGTCTCAGTATCTTCCACAGTGTTGCTTGGTCTATACTGTCAAAGGCCTTCTCATAGTCAAGAAAGTTGACAATCAACAGGGAGTTCCACTCCAGGGACTGTTCAACTATGTTCCAATCTGGTCCGTGGTTGATCGATTTTTCTGAAAACCAGCCTGTTCATCCCAAAGTCTTTGATCCGATGTGGACTTGATTCTCTGTAGAACGATTCTGTTGAAGACCTTACCTGATATTGAGAGAAGAGAGATTCCTCGGTAGGTCCTGCAGTTGCTGAGATCCCCCCTTTTTAGGAAGTTTCAAAAGGTGTCCTTCTTTCCAATCCTTTGGGAACTTATTCTCATTCCAGATCCTGGTAAACAATGGGAGAAGGAGGTCTATCCTCACACTGGCATCCGTTTTTAGGGCCTCATTTGGAATCGGATCAGGACTAGCCGCTTTACCATTGTTCAGCTTCTTAATGGCAACCATAATCTCTTGTTTTGATGGAGCATCACAGCAGATCGTAACTCATTTCTTGATGGCAAGATGTATGGCGAGTTACTTGGTGATAGTCTGTTCAGGAGACTGTTGCAATGCTCTACCCATCGTCCTGACTGAAATTCCTTTCCAAAAATGTTTTTTCCCTCTTGGTCCTTCACTGTTGCTTCTGATTTCCCATATTTTCCAGCAAGAGTCTTTGCAGTCTGGTAACTGATTCACATGCGCCCTCCTTATGCTGCCTCCTCTGCCCTCTCTGCCAGCCTGTACATGAATTCCTCCTTGTCTTTTCTTAGTGATCTCTTTACATCTTTAGCTGTTGTCCTGCACTGCTCCAATGCATTTGCTTTTGATCCCCTTGTACAACTTGCATTTTGGTCTCTGTTTTCAATTGTCTTCTAGTCCTAATCAAATCCAATGACCGTTGGCTAATCCAATCCTTAAGCTCCAATTTCTTCTCACTGAGTGTTTCTTGACACGTTGAAGTAAAGAACTTCTTCGACCTTGGTCCAATGCATCTCCGTCACTCCATCTGGTGATACCCAAATAGCCTTGTGGGGGAAAAGCAGAGCCTCCAATGACAAAACAGTTGAAAGCACAGATATTTGCAAATCACTCACTGTTCTCATTCATTTGTCCCAAGCCATTTTGTCCCTTGATTCCCTCATAACCTACGTTGTCCTGACCAATCTTGGCATTGGCATCTCCCATTACGATGTTGACATCCTTTCTTGATTGGTAGTTTGTCGATGACCCCCTGGGGCTGGCTGTAAAAAGCATCCTTGTCTTCATCCGCAGCATCATTTGTTGGGGCGTAGATCTGAGCTATGTTCATGTTGATGCTCTTACTCCTTGTAGTGAATGAAGCCATGAGGATCCTCTCCTCGTGTGGTTCTCATCCTCAAAGTGACTTCTGTCAATACTAACTCAAAATAATTCCAACTCCTTCCACATGGTGCTTGTCTTCCCTCCCAGAATACAGTATTTGTTCCCCTGAGCTGAGCTGCTTCTGTCCAGACTGTATCTACTGGGTTTCACTGACTCCTAGTATGTGCAGCCTGTATCTCTTCTTGAGGAGAAGTGGCAATGGAAAAATACACAAAGTCCTACTAGTAAGTATGTAAGGGAGCAATCACAGACCTCTGTCGGTTGGCAGCTATTTTCAGATGTGACATGTAGTAGACCTACATATACTGACAGCTTCTAGAAAGAGCACCAAGAGGCCACCAAGTTAGCCCGTTTCCTTCTCAACAAAAATTCCAATTAGATTCACTGAGTCAAGGGATAGACTTCTTTTTCAAATGTAGATTTTCATCAGTTGAAAAGCTGCCTTGACAATTTGCATCTGGCTGACATCATCAATGTCTTTTGGGTTTTTTTGGTTTGTTTTCGTAAAGTGTTTTACGGCGCTCGCAACTGCATAAGGTCATATGAGCTATATATTTTCAGTTGTTAGGAAATTTTGAATTTTGCCCGGGTGGCGGCCGAAGCCTACTCTTATCGATTTTAGAACACCAAGGGATCTTTAACGTGCGCAACATGCACACGGGCCCTCCGAGATTTTTCGCCTTTGTCCAAGAAGGCTAGGTGTAGATTTTTCCTACCAGAAGATCAGGGGTGTGGCTGAAAGACAGCAGTAAAAAGAAGAGAAGGAGTAGCAGTAGAAAGGCTGCAGAAAGAATCAGGAGCCCAGAGGAAGGGGCAAAGGAGGTGAGGGGGTGGGGGCAGAAAGAGGAGACGAAAGCAGACGACAGAACATTGCTAGAGAGCAGGAAATGAGGTGAAAGGAGACAAATTTAGAGAATAAATTTTTTGGTCGCTACCCGGATTCGAACACGGGACCTTTGAATGAGAGGCCAACACCTTAACCTCTAGGCCACGAGAGCCCCCAATGTCCTTTTGTGTTTCATAAAATTCTCGTATACATTGAAGAAGCCGATTACTTGTTGAATGTAACAACACCTGATCCCCACCAACCTCCACTATTATATACGCTTTCCCTTGCACCTTTGTGTTTCATAAAATTCTCGTATACATTGAAGAAGCCGATTACTTGTTGAATGTAACAACACCTGATCCCCACCAACCTCCACTATTATATACGCTTTCCCTTGCACCTTTGTGTTTCATAAAATTCTCGTATACATTGAAGAAGCCGATTACTTGTTGAATGTAACAACACCTGATCCCCACCAACCTCCACTATTATATACGCTTTCCCTTGCACCCCATCAGTTGTTTCTTTTTCAGTTACTTTGGTCCATAAATTATATTGTGCCATTCACCTCTTCAAATGGTCTTCTAAAATGGTCACCAGATCCAGAGTACATGACTTTATTTTGGTAGTGATCTGCTCATACATAATATATATATTACAATATTCATCTGCCTTCAGAAAGGAACGTATACAACGTAATGACCGACACAAGCTTAAAAGAGTATCATGAGGTTTCAATGGTATCCCTACTTTTTTAAAAGATCAAAAGTCTGAATAACAGCAAATGGTGGCTGCTTAAAAATTTTAAAGTTGCAACAGAAAAAAACAACCGAGAATAGTGACTGTTCTCCATTCGTCCTTTCTTTAAATGTGTTCTGACAACATTAGACGGGTCTCGGTTCACACACGAAAGACACTATAGGCCTGTATGCTTTTGTTTGATGGCAAAGCTTACTTTTCAGGCCACAACAAATTCAGCGGGTGCTAAATTGGTACTCTTGGACAGTTGACCGAAGTTTGCGTTTTAGCCCGTTTCTGCCTGGACTGTGACTAGTCTTTCTATGTTTTGCAAGAGATTTTTGCACTGTTGTAAGATCAGTGACATGAAATGTGCACTTGGTGCCCTTCAGTCACATCTATATTGTCCCATATGTTGTACAACTGCCAGAAAACCATTCATTCACACCTTATGATGTCAATTGCACAAGGGGTAATTCTCTTGAGAAGCTCCAACTTAAGGGTGTGAAAGAAAAATGTCTTTTTAAATGCATGGCTTTCCATACTTTTTACATGATGAATCATTATTTTGCTGAAAGACGGATATAAAGCACAGATACCGATGACGAGTAGTCTACTTCAATTTTGGGTAAATCCGCAAAAATGTTGTGTAGCCTATATTATATTATAAAAAGTGACTGTTTCTCCGAACACTCGGGAAAATAAACCTGATCTCGATTTTTCCGAACGGTTTCCATTCTCAAGATTTTTTTGTTATTTGAGAGAGTGCGGCATCATCTTGAATCATTCTGCCATTCTACAAGGACTGGGAAGAAGCATGTTTTTGCATTGAATTCAATTTCTAGAGCTAGAGATTTTTAGATGTCTAAATATTCAGATACTTCAATCCTGGTCTATACTTCATTTGAAAAGGCTTTCAAAAGGCACCGTGAGGAAACAAAAGTTCTCGACTTTGGCAGTAACCTATTTTGCACTTAGTCACCCCTAAAGCTAAGACAAAAAAATAAATTTTAAAATCCCTCTATGCCCTCCCTCGCACCCCCGTTCACATCTTACACACAAACACACCCACCCTCACACACACACACACTCTCTCTCTTTCTCTCACACGCACACACACATTGGTCACTCCATTCGCAAATAACAAAAAAATTTCGAGAACGGAAACCGTTCGGAGAAATAGAGTTCAAGTTTATTTTCACGAGCATTTGGAGAAAAAGAGCCGGCCATATTTATAGGCATTGTAATAATTCTCGGGAGAAGAAAGCAAGTACGATTTAACCGGTTTGGTCAAAATAGAATCTAGATTCTAGATTAGATCTAGATCAATATTCTGGATGTTTTGCTTTTTGGACAACTTTAAACAAATTTTTAAACCACTTCCTCCAAGATTTTGATTGCGGACGGTCCAAGAAATAGAGATCAGGTTTATTTTCCCAAGCATTCGGAGAAATAGTCACTTCTTATAAATATAGATCTTAGTATAGGCTACTCAACATTTGTGTGGGATTACCCAAAATTAGTAATTACACCCAATTTTATCTGTCGAACCATATGTAGAACTAGAATCTAGATATAATTTAAAACCTGGCCCTGCGGAAAATCGAATTTTTAAAATAGAAAAATTGCAAAAAATTGCAAGGTAAACTGCCTAAAAATTTCAACCTTCCCATCCCAGGCGCATTAATATGGGCTTAACATTTTCAGTTTATAAAAAACATGACATTTTGAGTACTGGCAGCATAAAAGCAGCACAGCCTTTAAAAAAAAATCATGACCCACAATACAAATTCATCAAATGTTATTAACAACATTTACTAGTAACAACATACGAGTACGTTAACAATAAAGTTATCGACCAAATATAATATATGATAACGCGTGACACAAAATAACGGAACCCTCGGTTTTCGTAATAACTTTTAAATGAAGGCATAAAATTAACCAAATTTAGTACATATAATAAAAATAATAGTAAGAATTGCATTTATATAGCCCATATATCCATATGTTCAAGAGCATGCTCTATGCGCTTTACAACCATTATTACCCCCAGCAGACCCTCTGAGAACACTCTGAAACATTCTCGGCTTGTGCGGAAGCATACAGTGCAAGCTGTGGATTTCACGCGCTCAAACACTTTCAAACTGAGAAGATCGTTCACTGTCTATAGCCAGGTACCCATTTAATTTCCACCTGGGTGAAGTGAGGAAAATTTGTACAAAGTGCCTTTCCCAAGGACACAACGTCGCGCCCCTGACCTTACAGTTGCGAGTCCGAGAGCCTAACCACTAGGCCACCGACGCCACAAATATCAAGAACAGCCACCACTTCTAAAGATACCGGGTACTTGGTTCATGCAAAGATCTAGAAGTGTATGAGGTTTAGTCTATAAAAAACAAAAAAATTGACGAGAGATTTTCGAAACAACCTCTTAATACAAAATAAGCTTTTATGCTCCAATCAAATCAGATCCCGTTCTATTTTTCTCTTGAAACCTTCGATGCACCGGTAATCTGTATTTAGATCTATTTCAGATATTTTCTGTTTTAAAACTGTCATAGTATTGTTTTAACACTAAGTCAAATCGTAAAATACAGCTAATTTTTTTCCTTTTATAAACAATAGTAATTATACATGTAATAATGTAGATCTAGATCATTTCTATAGCACCCACTCCTGTGTGAACGCAGCTTAAGGCATTTACATAATGGGGTGTCTACGTACATGGTAACCGGGCACGTAGCCTCAGTGTCTACGTACACGGTAACTGGCAACCGGGCACGTAGTCTCAGTGTCACGTACACGGTAATCGGGCAGTTTAGAATTCCAAGTTCAGTTTTTGTCACCTGGTGTTGCCTTCAACTCCAGCCTTCCCCCGACTGTACCTTTTAAAAAAAAACAATAATTCCCCCATTCCGGAACGCACAGACTTTGAATGAACTTTGGTGACCCCAACCGGTACTCACAATGAACAATGTGATGCAAAAGCACAGGTTCACTGACCGGTAATGGTGGCAAGCCCAACAAGACGCGTGTACATGACATGTAGGACTTTCTTTTTTTTCCCAACAAGTGACATCATGACCACTGGTCAAAATGACTCATACCTCCCTTTCGCGCGCATCGCGACCACCGGTCGTGATCCGACATGAATGTAGAAAAGATACCACTGACATGAAAATCGAAGTGGCTATTCGGACTCGAGTCTGAACAGCCGCTGGAGGTCCATTTGGACTCAAATTCCACAGCATGTGCGCAATCACCTGTTGTACCGTACTTTTTTGTCTCCGGCGAGGTCTAGACTCGAGTCCGAATAGTCTCCCATTGCTATTCGGACTTTAAACTACTGGTAGGCTATTACACTGCGTTTCGCAACTACAAAGGGATCAAAACATAAAATGCATATTCAGTCCTTAAAAGACAGCCCCCCCCCCTCCCCTTTCTTTCTTTCTCCCCACCTATTTCCTACTCTATCTTTCTCTCGTTCCCTCCTGCCAACTGGGGCATGCCATATACATTTTGCTAGCACTTCCCCCTGCTCTCTCTCTCTCACACACACACTACCGGGTCTGGGCGCTGAAACTTTCCGAAGTAACAAAAGAGTTCCCCTACAGGGTCTGTATATTTCGTGACTTTGTTCCCCGTTACCGGGTCTGTATACACTTCGTTCTATAAATTTACCAAAAATGGCTTAGATCTCTAGCGTTAAGAGGGTTAATAATTTGGCCGTCGTTATTCGGACTCGAGTCCGAATAACATTTTTTAATATTCGGACTCGAGTCCGAATAAAAAAATTTCTTATTCGGACTCGAGTCCGAATATGATAAAATGTTATTCGGACTCGGGTCCGGAAAAAAGGAAGTGTCTTCGTTCTATAGATCTAATGTTCAGTGCTTCCAATTTTTCGCCATTTTTTAGTTTCCCCCACACCTTATCTGCCGATCCAATGCCCGCCGCCTCATTGATACGCCTCCCCCCCCGTTTCCCACTTTCTTTGTTGTAGAAAAAGGTAAAATTGAAGATTAGCAGACCACCTGGCATATTATGAGCTGTGTAAAAAAAAAAAAAGACCGATTCGTTCAAATACAGAAAAGTTGTGTTGCTGTGTAGAGCTGAGCATACGGCAACTTTTGATTCCATAGACCAGCGCACAATTCATTACGTATTCATTACGTAGATCTACGTCAAGACTAGCTTATAATAATTATAAGTTGCCAGGGGGAAAAAGACCGACGCTTATGCGACGTTCAAAGCCCGGACCGATAGTGCCCCCCACCACCCTCCCCGACACGCACACATCCACACGTGTGCAGGCCGCCCATCCGACCCCGACACATGCTAACGAGCCATCATTAATAGCTTCTGATGACCTCTTGATAAATAAACATTTATTAGAAGCGCTCTAACTTTTCAGGCCCGCCTCAAATTCATCATAAGATTAAAACTCGGCTCCTGCACAAAACGCCTTTTTGCCCGAAGTGATCCCGGTCTCTACCCAGCCTGAGGCGAGTCACGAGTGAGGCAGGACAGGAAGCCGGATTCAAGGGTCACAGGAAGTCGGAAGTGATGTCATGCTGGACAAGAATCAGAGTCCGAATAACATTTTTTCATATTCGGACTCGAGTCCGAATAATCACTTCGTAATAATTTAAGGGCCAACCATGTTATTGTAGATTCTACTAGATTCTAGATCTAGATCTAGAAAGATCTAGATCTAGATCTATATCTAGATCTAGATCTAGATATAGATCTAGATGTATCTAGATTCTAGATCTACATCTAGATCTAGATTCTATCTGATCTTTCTTCCACTGCCACTGCCACTACAAGTCTCAACAATGTTCAAGGCATCTGCGAGCTGGAGTGATAAGAGAAAGTGACCCTGACTCACTTACAAAATACCCTGAAAGTCATTATTCAAGATGCATACCAGTAAGGAAGTAAAAATATTTCAGGAACTGAAGCATTCATCAAAAATTTCAAAGAGCAAGAGCTGTGTAATGGGCAACGGGACACAGGAAGTGAACAATGAACAACACAGCAAGTTCTCTGAGTCTGAGCCTTGTTGTTTTGTTGTTGTAAATCTTTTGTGGAGGAGTTTCGAAACTGGTAAGACAGAAGTTGAAACCGGAACTAGTCGTTTGTCATTCCGTGGACCAATGAGACGTGGACAACACAGTTACCTGCTCATGATTGGTAGAAATTTCCATTATTTTACGTAGATCTTGCCTTTTCCACTTTGTCGGTTTATGTGTAAGACCGTGAGGATCAAGTGACTGGAAAGTGTGATTGTGCCGGTTCAAAATGTACTCGTCAGTTGTACTGTTGGGTCTTTTATGTTTTTGTGGAGCATTTGCAGATGACGTTCTCGTCTTTACTGATGCAAATTTTGGAGATGAAATCGCCAAATATGAAACTATACTTGTCAAGTTTTATGCTCCATGGTAAGTAGAGTATAATTAAGAAGAGAAGCCCAGAATCTAAAAGGCTTTGCTTTAGCCTGCCCTTTGCCCTAGCAGTAGATATCAGATCTAGATTCTAGAATCTAGATCTAGATCTAGACGACAGACCTGCCACTCATCCCGATTTAGTCGGGATATCCCGATTTTTTGCCCCAAATCTCAAGCATCCTGATTTTCCCGATTTCGATCGTGTGTATCCCAATTTTTGGAATGTCTCAGTCTGCTGTTGTGCCGGATTTTTCTTTGGTGGCCACCTCTATTCTCACCCAGGATGAGAATAGTGCAGGCGAGTCTTTTGGCTATTCTCACCCGGTGCGCGTTCACCGTTATAGCCTAGATCTAGATCTAGGCCAACAAATTTTGTGTTCACCCTAAACCACAGAATTCTACACTGTGATAACAGAAAAATTGTAGAATTCTGTGCCGTGAACAAACGTCCCATTACAACTGTAGCCTACTAAAAGCATACAATTTTGTCTGTGGGCAGTGGAGAGAGAGAGGGAGAGAGAGAGAGGAGTAGCGCGAGAACTTCCGGTCGAAACAAAATGGCGACCCGCGTAGTTCGGCTCGATTCGAAAAGTTAAATAGCCGTAGCATCTTTGTAGACAACCAAATTAATTTACTTTTGTGCTTTAACATCATTTTTTAACTTTGTTTTGGTCAATTTGATGGTCCACACCGATAGACAGTATTCAGAAAGAGACAGAGAGAGAGAGAGAGGGGAGGAGTAGATCTTGCGAGAACTTCCGGGCAAGACAAAATGGCGACCCGCGTAGTTCGGCTCGATTCGAACAGTGAAATAGCCATAGCATCTTTGAAGGCGATCAAAATAGCTTACTTTTGTGCTATAACGCAATTTTTTCTTGGCTTTTATCAGTTTGATCATCCACACCGATAGACAGTATTCTAAAAGGCCACCTCTATTCTCACCCGGGGTGAGATTAGACATAGAGTGCAGGCGAGTCTTTTGGCTATTCTCACCTGGTGCACGTTCACCGTTATAGCCTAGATCTAGGCCAACAAATTTTGCGTAGAATTCTACACTGTGATAACAGAAAAATTGTAGAATTCTGTGCCGTGAACAAACGTTCCATCACAACTGTAGCCTACTAAAAGCGTACAATTTTGTCTGTGGGCAGTGGAGAGAGAGAGAGAGAGAGGAGTAGCTCGAGTACTTCCAGGCAAAACAAAATGGCGACCCGCGTAGTTCGGCTCGATTCGAAAAGTTAAATAGCCGTAGCATCTTTGTAGACAACCAAATTAATTTACTTTTGTGTTTTAACATCATTTTCTAACTTTGTTTTGGTCAATTTGATCGTCCACACCGATAGACAGAGAGAGAGAGAAGAGGGGAGGAGTAGATCTTGCGAGAACTTCCGGGCGGGTGAGAATAGCCACTTTCATTCTAAAATGAGGAAAAGCAGGTCTTGCTTCGCACCGGGTGAGAATAGCCTACGCTGGCAAGTCTCACCCGGGGTGAGAGGTAGATCGTTTTTCTATTCTCACCCCGGATGAGAATAGCCACTTCCTTTTCTAAAAACATACTCTGCCTGCATTCTCCTTTGTCGCGGGAAGCATCCGTTGAACTTTTTGTCAGTAGGAACTCGGAGCACTATTTCCCGAATTATCGATGCCACATTTAGACTAGATTTAGATCTAGATCTAGTAGTTGACTCGCCCCAAGTTGTGTGTGATCTTTGCCCGCACTCAGAATTCTCCGATGACAGCCTGGTAACTGTTACAATTTGGGACATACAAATAATCGATAATATTCGTAGTTCCGCTGCTACTTTCAAAACAAGCCTTGTTCGAGGTCTGGTAACCGCGTGTTCACACCAAACACTCGGACGAGCGACTGTCTTTCTAACCCTTACACAACTACATGTAACTGCGCTGACAAGACTAACAGACGACCGTTGTCGTTGCTTTAGTCTGAACGCATTATGAGGGAAGAGATTTGTTGGTACAATTGGTCGGTCTGCCGCCATTCTTATCCAAGAGTACTAGACTAGATTAGAAGAAGAACGACTGGCGCTCATCTAAGAGTTTTGTGTGAACGCGCGCAGTTAGTCGGACCTGTTAATAAAAATTTTGTTTCAATCGCGTATTCGCGTCCCGTGACATGACATCGCCGTGTGAGTTCTGAGTGTTCGGGACCATCCGTTGACGGGGTCAACTTAAGTTCATGTATTTCGGGACTTATTGGTTGGGGGGGGGGGGGGTATAGACACTTGGACTAGGAGTGCTTGACGTGATGCTTCAGGATTTACAAAAAATAACTCGCATACACACACGCGCGCGCGGGCACGCAAACAAACTAAGACACTCAGAGGGCATATAGGCCAAGTAATTTATGGACACCCCTGGAAAAATTTTAAGTCAGCTTTGGCAGTCACCTTGGTGATTTGCTGTTGATCCCGATTTTTTTCTCCCTGAGATCCTGATTTTGAGATTTCATAGAGTGGCAGGTCTGCATCTAGATCTAGATCTAGCCACCCTGTTAATTGATTAGGAAATGGCTATCCTCACCCAGGGTGAGAATAAAAATACGATCGACCTCTCACCCCAGGTGAGACTTGCCACCGTTGGCTATTCTCACCCGGTGTGACCTTTTTTTCCTAATTTCGGAATACTTTCTATCGGTGTGGATGATCAAATGGATAAAAGCAAAGAAAAAATTATGTTATAGCCCAAAAGTAAGCTAATTTGATCATCTACAAAGATGCTATGGCTATTTCACTTTTCGAATCGAGCCGAACTACGTGGGTCGCCATTTTGTTTTGCCCGGAAGTTCGCGCAAGATCTACTAAATACTGTCTATCGGTGTGGACGATCAAATTGACCAAAACAAAGTTAAAAAAGGCGCTTTTTCGGTAGTTCCCACCCCGCAATTGTTATTCACGGGTCTAGCCTAACATAAATAAGTGGGGGGTTTCAGGGGGGGCATGCCCCCTGAATTTTACCACAATTTAATGTTTAGCAGTTGTTAGGTTTGATATCTTAGCTCGCTGCAAATCAAACGTATATACTATCCCGCCCTTGGCGCGACCATGCCCTTCATGTGCAATCTGTTTTATTAGAGTTACACGTGCCTTGTCTAGTTCCACTTTTGGTCAATCCTTTTCCGAGAACGTCAGTCGTCTGCAAGTGCAGCAGTCGAGTTCGAAGTGAAAGGCTTATCAGAAACATTCTTAGAGAAGTTTTATTCAGTTACTAAACTAAAGTAGCTGGCCCAACCCGCGACCACTTGTCTCTGTACTCTCTGTTATTAATAAGATAATTGTTTTCATCATAATTTGATAAAGAAATGATTTAACTAACCTTTAAATGGTGTACTAACAACTTTCTTGCACCTGTCATATCTGTGCGTGCATGGTCGCGCCCTGTTCCGTATGCGGTCGCGCCAAGGGCAGAGCATTAACATGTTAAAATGCGAAATCTGCGAATGATGTTTTGGAATGATTGACGATATCACAGTATAACCTAATAGAAATTTTACCATTATAGTTTGATGTTTTGCTGTTGTTAGTGTCTCTCTCTCACGATGGCCTCTTCAATAAACTAAATTTGGGGTCATGTGTAATAATTAGACCCTTGTTGAAGTCAATTTTTAAAAAAATGTTTTTGGTGAAATGTACGTTGTTTGAATTCAAAGAATATAAATCTAATTTTAAAAAAAATTGGGACTTGAAAAATCTATTGGCTATTGTGTAAGACAAGTGATTTGTTAACAATACTTTTGTTTTAAGTGTGTTTTGCTGGAAACATGTCAATTTTTAAAAAAATCAAAATATTTTGTAGGTGCGGACATTGCAAGAGGTTAGCGCCAGAGTACGAGAGAGCTGCTACAACTTTGAAAAAGCAAGACCCACCAGTGGCTTTGGCAAAGGTAAGTCAAATGAAGTGACTTTATGATGGACTGCATAAAATGTCGTTCGTGAGTCAAGACTCAAATTCCCCATCCTGAAAAGAATCCATCCAAAGTGATAGAAAGGTGAAAGTTATTGACTCAACTCATTTTGTTAGAAATTGGTAGATCGGCCCGCCCAAGCAGCCTTGCTATTTCCTATTTTGTCATCACTATAATTATTCCCCCCCCCCCCCCCCCCCCAAAAAAAAGGGGGTAAAAGATCATTCATTTGTACGCTCATTTTAATTCTGTGTAGACTATTTGGGTTAGGGTGTTTTTCTTGTCAGGAAGGCGTTTTTGATTGTGTATATACTAACTTTAAAGGCTGGGTTTTGACTCTTCATCCCCTTTATATTCACAATGCAAGTATGTAACCTTGATTACTTTCTGGTAATGCAAAATTTATGGTTTTGTTGTAGAGTTGGGTTGAAACAAATTTTTAAAATCTCCCTTTTTTCATAGGTGGATTGCACAGTTGAGACAAACGTTTGCTCTAAGCATGGTGTAAGTGGCTACCCAACCCTGAAAGTTTTCAAAAATGGAGAACTTGCCAAAGATTATTCTGGCCCAAGAGAAGCTGGTAAGTTTGTATACTTCCTAATTTTCTGTTGTTCATTTCTCTTTTCAGTTCCTTTACTTTTTTTTCTGTATATTCTTGTTGCCTATAGTTGTCTCACCTTACTTTCATTCAAAGAGTACGTCTATATGTTAAGTGCTGTATCTTGAATGCAAGTCGAGATATTTGCGATTGAAGATGGTAGGGGTCGCCTGGTTTCAGAGGTAAAATTAGTGGAAATTGGCCGCCAAAGTTTAGTTATTTCCTTAGCTTGAGAGTCTGTGGAAGCAGAAAATTTACACTTTTTGTGCCTTTAATCAACATTTTTCAGTGCTATTGACACAGGAATGTGTTCTTTAATGGACATGAAAGGTGTTGAGCCAAAAAAATAAAAATTCTATTAAAAAATTGCTGAACCGGAAGAAAAATGTTGTTTTCTTTGATTTCATTAAATTTTGACGAGCACCTGATTTCACCACGCTGCCTCACATATTTATATTTATAGATTTGAAAGCATTGTCTCCTTTCTTTTTGACATTGATTTTTAGACTTACGTGTCCCTCTATATTTTGTGAAGGGATTTTATGACACCATCAATATTAAATTGATTTTTGTTTTGTTTGAATCTTAGTCTGTTAGACATCTGATCTGTGTCCCTCCCTTAACAGACAGCTTAATTTGTTTCCCCTCAGATGGAATCGTTAAATATATGGTGAGGGAAGCTGGTCCAGTCTCCAAGAAACTGGAAAGCGCTGATGATGCCAGGAACTTTTTGAATAAAGCATCTGTTGGAGTCATTGGTAACCAATTTTGATTTCACTTGTTTTTGTGTGAACATAACAGAGCATCAATTTTTGCCTATATTGGACAGCGCTCTTTGTTTCTGTGATTGCATTTTGCAGCCAGTTGCTCTAAAATTGTCTGCCAGTTATTTTTGGAAAGACTTTGGAAATATTGTTAAATTTTTTAGAGAAATATTATTTAGTATGTTTGTGAGTAGCAGGACTTTAATGCAACTTGTACGATCTTAATATTTTGCTTCTGTAACCCCTCCAATTTATCTACCCTGTATCCCTGGCTTCAGGCAGGGTAATAAGTCCACAAAAATAACTCATGATTTAACTCTTTGAATACGCGGGCCAGATCTCAGTGTGACGCAGCTCTGGCGGGCAGCACATTTTTTTAACATACATGTGATACAAATTTCAATATAACTTGTCTCTGTACTCTCTGTTATTAATAAGATAATTGTTTTCATCATAATTTGATAAAGAAATGATTTAACTAACCTTTAAATGGTGTACTAACAACTTTCTTGCACCTGTCATATCTGTGCGTGCATGGTCGCGCCCTGTTCCGTATGCGGTCGCGCCAAGGGCAGAGCATTAACATGTTAAAATGCGAAATCTGCGAATGATGTTTTGGAATGATTGACGATATCACAGTATAACCTAATAGAAATTTTACCATTATAGTTTGATGTTTTGCTGTTGTTAGTGTCTCTCTCTCACGATGGCCTCTTCAATAAACTAAATTTGGGGTCATGTGTAATAATTAGACCCTTGTTGAAGTCAATTTTTAAAAAAATGTTTTTGGTGAAATGTACGTTGTTTGAATTCAAAGAATATAAATCTAATTTTAAAAAAAATTGGGACTTGAAAAATCTATTGGCTATTGTGTAAGACAAGTGATTTGTTAACAATACTTTTGTTTTAAGTGTGTTTTGCTGGAAACATGTCAATTTTTAAAAAAATCAAAATATTTTGTAGGTGCGGACATTGCAAGAGGTTAGCGCCAGAGTACGAGAGAGCTGCTACAACTTTGAAAAAGCAAGACCCACCAGTGGCTTTGGCAAAGGTAAGTCAAATGAAGTGACTTTATGATGGACTGCATAAAATGTCGTTCGTGAGTCAAGACTCAAATTCCCCATCCTGAAAAGAATCCATCCAAAGTGATAGAAAGGTGAAAGTTATTGACTCAACTCATTTTGTTAGAAATTGGTAGATCGGCCCGCCCAAGCAGCCTTGCTATTTCCTATTTTGTCATCACTATAATTATTCCCCCCCCCCCCCCCCCCCCAAAAAAAAGGGGGTAAAAGATCATTCATTTGTACGCTCATTTTAATTCTGTGTAGACTATTTGGGTTAGGGTGTTTTTCTTGTCAGGAAGGCGTTTTTGATTGTGTATATACTAACTTTAAAGGCTGGGTTTTGACTCTTCATCCCCTTTATATTCACAATGCAAGTATGTAACCTTGATTACTTTCTGGTAATGCAAAATTTATGGTTTTGTTGTAGAGTTGGGTTGAAACAAATTTTTAAAATCTCCCTTTTTTCATAGGTGGATTGCACAGTTGAGACAAACGTTTGCTCTAAGCATGGTGTAAGTGGCTACCCAACCCTGAAAGTTTTCAAAAATGGAGAACTTGCCAAAGATTATTCTGGCCCAAGAGAAGCTGGTAAGTTTGTATACTTCCTAATTTTCTGTTGTTCATTTCTCTTTTCAGTTCCTTTACTTTTTTTTCTGTATATTCTTGTTGCCTATAGTTGTCTCACCTTACTTTCATTCAAAGAGTACGTCTATATGTTAAGTGCTGTATCTTGAATGCAAGTCGAGATATTTGCGATTGAAGATGGTAGGGGTCGCCTGGTTTCAGAGGTAAAATTAGTGGAAATTGGCCGCCAAAGTTTAGTTATTTCCTTAGCTTGAGAGTCTGTGGAAGCAGAAAATTTACACTTTTTGTGCCTTTAATCAACATTTTTCAGTGCTATTGACACAGGAATGTGTTCTTTAATGGACATGAAAGGTGTTGAGCCAAAAAAATAAAAATTCTATTAAAAAATTGCTGAACCGGAAGAAAAATGTTGTTTTCTTTGATTTCATTAAATTTTGACGAGCACCTGATTTCACCACGCTGCCTCACATATTTATATTTATAGATTTGAAAGCATTGTCTCCTTTCTTTTTGACATTGATTTTTAGACTTACGTGTCCCTCTATATTTTGTGAAGGGATTTTATGACACCATCAATATTAAATTGATTTTTGTTTTGTTTGAATCTTAGTCTGTTAGACATCTGATCTGTGTCCCTCCCTTAACAGACAGCTTAATTTGTTTCCCCTCAGATGGAATCGTTAAATATATGGTGAGGGAAGCTGGTCCAGTCTCCAAGAAACTGGAAAGCGCTGATGATGCCAGGAACTTTTTGAATAAAGCATCTGTTGGAGTCATTGGTAACCAATTTTGATTTCACTTGTTTTTGTGTGAACATAACAGAGCATCAATTTTTGCCTATATTGGACAGCGCTCTTTGTTTCTGTGATTGCATTTTGCAGCCAGTTGCTCTAAAATTGTCTGCCAGTTATTTTTGGAAAGACTTTGGAAATATTGTTAAATTTTTTAGAGAAATATTATTTAGTATGTTTGTGAGTAGCAGGACTTTAATGCAACTTGTACGATCTTAATATTTTGCTTCTGTAACCCCTCCAATTTATCTACCCTGTATCCCTGGCTTCAGGCAGGGTAATAAGTCCACAAAAATAACTCATGATTTAACTCTTTGAATACGCGGGCCAGATCTCAGTGTGACGCAGCTCTGGCGGGCAGCACATTTTTTTAACATACATGTGATACAAATTTCAATATACTGAAGTTACTAAACACTTTAGACATAATAAACTATATATCAAAATAAAGGAAATTGAATGTAGAATGTATATCTGTGTGGTTTGTGTTGATTTCTGTACACTGTGTGTGTTGAATTACAGAGAAAGACAGAAAAAAAAGAAGAAAAAATTCACACTAAATGTTTTTCTACTCACCAAATCAGGTATTATAATCCAATTGGTCAATATCCATGAAGATGAGCTGAAGTTGGTAATTCATGTAGCAATAATCCAGGAAAGTTTCATCACAATAGCTCCAGTAGTTTTTGAAATATTCACATTTATCTACACAACAGTTACGCCACAATATCGATGAAAAACCCCCACCAAAAATGTCACACTGAAGATATTCACATCTTTACACTATATACAATCCTTTTCCGTCTCATTGCCAAATTAGACATTGTGGTAGGCTTGGAAACAGTCCTTAGGGTGCAAATGGGTGGCACCACTGCATCCAAGGCAGACAAAGTGAGTTCTTTTTCTTGCCCCATCCTTAGAGCACACCACACAGTTTCTGTCACGCTTCACGTAGGAGATGATGTGACGAGTACCTTGAATGCGCTCCATTGGATTGTTCTCCGGTTGTCTGCCTGGAGCTCTAGCCTCGTCATTGTTATCGTTGTTGTTGTCGTTGTTGTTGTTGTTGTTGCTGTTAGCAAGACTTTCGACAATTTGCCGAACGAGCATCAGTTTGAACTTTTTCCACCCGATCTTCTTCTGCGCGTCTGTTCTTGTGAGGGTGTAGAGAATGAAAGCATTGACCTGAGTTATCTCCATCATCCAAAAGAACAGCTTCTTCCACCACTTCACTGATTTGCGGGAGAAGACGGGGTAATATGTGACCTTCTGGTCAAGAAGGTCACAGCCATTCATGTGACTGTTGTAGTCATGGATGACAGTCGGCTTGTCAACATCTTTGACTCGTGTTGTATCCACCTGTGCGTCAGTGGAAATGAGAACAACTGGTTTCTTGGCTTTTTTGTCCCGAAAAGCCACACACAGGACATCTGCATTCTCATGGAGAAACCAGCGCATTTGTCGATGTTGCAGACTCAGGTTTTTCAGCTGAGGTGGAAAAGATTTTCTGTTCAGCATAAGCGTGTCGGTGTAGTGGTGCCTTTTTTTGAGCAGATGGTCAACAAGATCCCACATAGATCTTGTGACCTCTGTCAACACAGGTGAGGAGCGTGTCGAAGATCTTCACAGCTGCACCACTGTCTGCATCTGCTTCAGGGTCATATGACGTATTGGCGCCGAAATATGTCAGTATATTCATCACATACCCAGTTGATGAATCACAAAGACCAAACGTCTTGATGTGATACTTGCTGGGTTTGCTTGCGTTGAACTGTTTGAATTGCCATCGACCCTTGAAACCGATAACCATTTCGTCAATGGACAATTCTTGGAACGGATAAAAAGCCCCACGGAATTTGCCAAGAAGTAAATTCATGAATGGCTCGATCTTATCCTTCCCTTCCGCATCTTTATCACCAGCATGCAGCATGGAATGATATATGTCCTGGAACCTCTGTCGGGGAAACATACTATGGTACCATGCTGTGTAGAACTCGGGTGACATGGACCAGTAGTCAGAGATGGCGGGACGGCGATCTAAACCTATCAGGATTAGCACTGCCATAAATTTGTCGAACTCCTTGACAGTAATTTTCTTCCAACGCGCAAAAACTGACCTAGGACTAAAGTTGCCACTTTTCTCTGCTATTCTCTTTTCAGCATAGTCATTGATGAAAGTCACAATAACTTGTTTTACCTCACGGTCTAACAGAACAGACAGACAGTCCAGGGCACTTGAATTCTCATCCAAGCCAGATTCTGGCAACACACCTGGAACCTTTGTCGGAAGAAAACGTATGGTGTTTGCTGTTCCTCCATGCTCAATATGACTCCACCCACCATTGTCTCTAGCACTAGCAGTAGCAGGAGGATCAGAAACAGTAGATCTAGATTTAGCAGTTGCAGTTGCAGAAGACTGAGTAGACCTAGATCTAGGCCTAGTACTAGACTTGCCCTTTCCTTTCCCTTTGCACTGTCTCTTTGGAGCTGGTTCCACCTCACCGTCACTGCTCTCATCAGCACCACGATCTAGATCTAACGTTGGTTGCTCTTCTTCATCACTACTCAGATTCAAATCACAATCACTGGTTTCTTCACTAGAGTCCGAGTCATCTCCAATCCATCTCTGGATAAGGTTTCTAGCTTGATCTGCCGAAAATCGGCCTCTAGAGGTACTAGGTTGTGAGTCTGGATTCATCTTCAATCACCGCACTGCTTGTTTTCGTTGACAACAAGGTAAACAAACTCTAGCGTGAAGTCGGTGAAGAATACTTCTTTGAATTTCGCGAAAAATCGACCGATTTGACTGCATATAGCGTCTAAAGGAAGTGGGAACTCTTCTTGAAGAAAATAGAAACAGTTCTTATAGTTTTACTTAAAAAGCGGTATTGAGAAGTTGGGTTATACGAAACAACCCATCGTGGCGCACAGTGCGACGAAACGTATACATTTTTGGTCGCCTTGGCGCAGTGTGCGGCGATACGTAAAGAAAGAGTTAAAAAGAAAATAAGTAAAGATTGTGAAAATATATTTGGCTTATATTTCACCTGAGATGGTGATTAGATTGGCAAAATTTCCAAGATTGTGAAAATATATTTGGCTTATATTTCACCTGAGATGGTGATTAGATTGGCAAAATTTCCAGTACCCTGCCAATTGTTTACATTCTGTCTTCTTTTTTTTATGATTTTGGTTAGCACACAGATTTGTCTGGTCAGCTATGAAGTGAACAGATAACATACTTTTTATATGATGGGATACAAATTATTTCAGGGACCTTTTTGTTCACCCAATTCATGGATTTAACAGATGGTTGGCTAATTACTCAGACATCTTTGCATCATTCCCTTCCCTGTCTGTTGTAGCAGCATCAGCAACTTCATCATTATCAGTTTCATAGTCATCACTGCCACCACTCTGTCTAGACCAAAGGTTTACGTCTTATCTTTACTTTATCAAACTCAACTTTGGGATCATCTACAACCCATCCTACCAGACCATTATTCTTATATAACATGAATTAATCCGTTCATCGTCCTACATAATATATATATATATGTCTTTATTCCCTGTTCTTCCATATAAAGCCCAAAACCGGTCTTTGAGCACACTTCAAATGTCTTTTGTACTTTTTCACACTCATTCCTTAGGTGAAGAAATGAAATTTAAAACTTGTTCTTACTGCAATTTGCAGGATTCTTTGAATCTGAGAGTAGTTCTCTTGCCAAGGCTTTCTTGAAAGTTGCTGACAAGTTGTCTGATGTCAGGTTTGCACACACAATAAGCAAAGAAGTCAAGGAGGAATTGAAACAGACTGAAGAGTAAGTATGACTCTATTGCATTGTGGTTTCATACCCTTGAGATTTGTATAAAATGCAGTTCAGAATGAACAGGTTTTTTTCTTCCCTTTTGCACATAACTGACATTAATAAATCCAGTTGAACTTGCCATGACAGCTATGTATATAAAGGGCCACTTTCCATTTCCCCCCTTGCATTTTTTAATATAATAATAGCACTGTGTAAAACTATGTGTTCAATGCAGTTCTGGCAATTATATTTTATCAACCAACAACCAAAAAAAAAACTGTCTAAAATGGTCACTAAATCTCTCATGGCCGGATGCATTGTCATGATGTCATGAATTATATAAGGGTCCCTGATGCTGTGGACATTTTTTTCCATATTTTTGAGTTTTTGAGAATTTTATTACTGTTTGAATGTCAATAGAGACAAACTGGCTTTAGTAGATTGCTTTTCTGCAGATACATGACCAAAATTATGTTGATAGTGCTGTAAAACATCCATCTGATCGAAAATGATTCTTTGAAGTTTTAGAAAAAAAGAATTTGTAGCTGTTCTTTATGCATAGAATATTAAATATTAGGTAGTACTTTCGATGAAGACTTTTTTTCAGTCCTCTAAATTCTGTTGAGGGTGCTAGCGTTTGTTTTATTACCCTGTTTTAGTACGTTTCCAATTATTGTACTTTTTCTTGTTAGAAACAGTTATAATAATATAGCTTGTAGCTTGATAAATTTTATAAGAATAGTTTTAAAATGTTTTATATCACTTTTTCCTTTCATGAAAGTCTGTTCAGAAGAGAAAAGAATGGGAATGCAAGGTATTTGCTATTGGTCAGCCTAAGACCATTCCTGGTCTCCAAAATGAAAGGAAATTTTAAAGCTGCATTAATGCACATTTCTGCAACTTTCACGTCTTATGTTTTTTCTTCTTTTCAGTGGTATTGTATTGTTCAGACCAAAAGTACTTCAGAGCAAATTTGAGGATGCTGAGGTTCGTTGTGAAGAAACCAGTTCAGAAAAGATCCAATCGTTTATTCAAGGAGAGTCGTAAGTATATATGTATTGCAATATATTCCAATGGGAAAGTAGGATTGAAAGTGTATTTTACAGTATAACACGGATAGCTCGAATTCGTTGGGACAGGCCTCGGTAGTTCGGGGAATCCGTAGTTCAAGGGATTCGTGAACAGTGTTTTATGACATAGGCTGTGTCAGAGAATCAAGGGAAGCAACAAAGATTGGGTCAGAACAGATTTTTCTTTTTTCTGCCATTATCCTAGATCAGATGGTTTAGATCTATGCCTGGTGACTTGATTTTGAAATTTGAGAGAATTTAAAATTGGCTGTTTATTGAGAACGAGAAACACGATGCTTTCGAGTTCGATCGGTAATAATGAGCTTCCCGATACCAAGACAGTTTAATTGTGCGGATTAGTGTGAGCGATCTTTAGTCTGCACCAATCGAATGATGCCTTTTCAAATTTTACAAAACATAATTTGACAGGATAAGAGTATCGCAACAGTAATCAACGCGATGATGAGTCAATGCAGCACAAATCCGTCTCTCCCACCAAGAGCGTAGTCTTTCGCAAAGAGGGGTGGGGCAGCTGATCGTGTGATGCGTAACCCTTTGCTTCTGTGGAGGGGGGGGGGGGTAACTGACCTTGTCCTTTTCCGTTTTTAATATTTTGTCGCAAGTGCACCTCAAAGGACATTGACTTTATATCTCTATGGCGGCGTAAGTAGTTCGATTATTCTGTGTTTGTGTTCCAGCTTCGCGTAATTTTCTTACAAAGATGAAGAAGAAGAAAAAACGGGACCGCAGGTACAGTTCGACGGATGTGTGATTTCAAGTAATCTGTGTTCGACCTATCCGGGTTATACTGTATTTTATTTGAAGAAGAATTTTTTCTTTGAATGCCGTGGATTTCCCGATAGATAGAAAAATGAGCCACAGCATAAAGAATTTGCAATAGCGTCTCTTTGAAGAACAAATTTGTCTTGTTTTCAGTCATGACTACAAAAATGATGTACATTTGAAAAATTACATTTATTGTTCTTTCATTGTTGTGCAATTCTCACTACTTTTGTACCTTTTGTTAATGAGCACCTTTGTATCTTAGTATGGGTTTCCTAATTAATGAATTTTTATTTCCATTTTCTCTTTTTTTTTTTTTGCTTTCAGATTGGGTCTCTGTGGTGAGCGCACCATGAGTAATGCAGAAAATTTCCAGAAACCTCTATTTGTTGCATATTTCAATGTGGATTATGTGAAAAATCCTAAAGGCACCAACTATTGGAGAAACAGGTACAGTAATGTTTGCTTTCAGCTATTACTTGATTAAACTTACTTTAATATGTCATAATGTGGCACAATTGAACAAATTTTCATACAAATATTAATCTTTAACACATTACACCCTAACTCGCCCAGGATCGCCCGGGAATTCCCTTACGCACTCCACCCTGACTCGCCCAGAACCGCCCGCGTCGACCCAGCGTCTTTAGGTTTCTTCTTTCGTTTGATACCGAAACGAAATTTTTCGGGCCAGTAGTTTTAGTATTAGAGCTGATCGAAGTGCGATTCCGTTACCGACACTTCGAAAGTGTCTTGACTTGTTGAAAAGCAACACAATTGAGTTCGAAAACGGAAACAACGATGGATTTGAGCAAAAACAAGCATGTGACAAATCAGATAGCTCAGATTTTGATGAAAACGCTGTAGCAAGAGTTTGGGGCGATTCAGATTGATCAGACGTAGAAAATCTAGAATTTAGATCTAGGGCCCGACTGCGATGCTGAGAGTGAGAATGATGGGTCGGACACCTCAATTGAACTAAAGTTAGAACATTTCCAACAATTTGCGCACACATAAAGTTATATTTTTCTGAAACTACATTCAGTTTTAATTTGAACTTTTATTTTTTCAGCATTTTTGGAATTTGTTTAGTATTTTTAGAATGTGTTTTTTAAACGCTTGTATTCACGGGAGGTGGGTTCTTTCCCCTTGCTTAGGATCTTGGAATGGACTTCCCGTCCAGGCCCTTAGGGTGTAATGTGTTAAGGTCTAAAGTAATAAAGACATTGAAAAAAATAACAGAACTAGATTCTTTACTACAAATCACATGAAGATGCCAAGTTTCATTACTCCAATTCATTACCGATTAGGAACAGTTTTCCCTCAAAATACACCAAGAATCGTCTTACTTGGTAACATTTTCATACAAAAGGTTCCAATAAATTAATTTGTCAATGGATTTTTTAAATATAAAAACCGCAGTATTTTTTAAATATGAAAACCACAGTTCTTAGAATTTACTTCTTTCATTTAAGCTTGTTTTAAAGCAGTTTGAATTAAAATCAAATTTTTCATTGTCATCGCTACATAATTATGAGCAGTGTTAAGGGGTACAACCAACAACACCCCCCCCCCCCCCCCCCGCCCCAACCCTCAGCTAAATAGGCTTAATGTTTCAAATCTGTTGGGGGAAATTAAATTGTGAATTGACAATATTTTCCATTTAGAGTGCTCTTGTTTTATGTAGAATGGTGCTGTCGATCATGAAAATTACTTTTGAATGGACAGTGATAAAAATTACTTTCGAGTGGAAGCTAGAAGTCTTAAGAGAATGTTTGTACAACTGAAACTGAGACCAACAGATTGTTTCAGTGATGTTTTGAAGATTGATGCGATAATTCATAAATGTCTTGTGTTTCTGTGCTTTTTACCAGGGTGATGAAAGTTGGTAAGAAGATCAAGGACGAGGGCGAAACTGTTTACTTTGCTATTAGCGGCCTTGACGAGATGAGCAGAGAGCTGGAAGAGTGTGGTATTGAAGACAGGAATGGCGACAAGCCTGTTGTCTGTGCATGGAATGCAAAGAACCAGAAATTTAAGATGACAGAAGAATTTAGGTAAGCATATTTGATATATAAATATATATAATTGCTCTCTTCACTGATTTTTATGGCAAATACTGGCTGAACAAAGTTCAAGATCAACACCAAAAGTGCCAGTCCCATAGAATATCATATTTTCCTGTAGTGCGAAATGTTTTACATATATGTATGTATAATGTCTATCCTTATGGATGAAATTCCATTAGAGCCTGCTTTTCTCTACATTTAGTCTGCCCAAAAAGCATTTTGAGATGCACACCCTCTCACGTTACCATTTTATTACTTGTAGCTTTTATGGGACTCAGACATGGATGCTGGTGACCTTGTTTTGTGGGTAGGAATGTTACTGCACCATGTGAAGTCTTATTCTGCCTGACAAGTGCATCTCATCTTAAGATGTTGGCACTTTTATTTGTGGGTAATATTTCCGTGTTCTTGAAATCATTTGTGTCATGATGGTGTTGATGAGGAGGAGGGGACATTGTTTTCTTTAAACTGTATTATGTCCCATTATTACAGCAAATGTCATTTTAAATAAATGTGTCCGCCGCTTGTTTGCTAACTTACTCTTCCATCACCATGGTCTTTTAGTAATTTATTGGCTCAGTGGTTATGTTTGCAAATGACCTTTATTTTATTTATACACTTTTGCCTTAGGGTTTCCTAGCCATGTTATTCTCAAGTCATTTTTTTTTTTTCTTCAGATTTGCTATATATGACTATATCTCACGACCATAGAGCACTATGATTTATAAATGGTTTGGCGTGGATTCATCTTGCTTATGAGTCATTTTCTTTTCATTATAGCTTTTAACATTTGAGGCTTGAGGCAACATTCATTGTGTGTGGGTTGCTTTTTGTTTGGGGGTGGGGGGTGTATGTTCCGGTTCCTAATGTTTCTGTTCTGAACCTAGCTGTATTCTTATATTTGTGACACCTCCTGTAGTTCTACTTTTCCCCAGGCTAAGTGTGCTATGTCATTTATAAGACATAGGCTGTTGGTGATCCTGTTTCCATTTGTGGTATTTGTTATTGTTGTGAGAATCTTGAAATTTTTTTGGGTATTATGTTGAAATGTGGTGTGGACAGGAGAGTTCTTTGTCTTAGTTGAACATACAAGTTAATACTTACCTACTTGTTCTTTCCTCTAGCATGGATTCCTTTGAGCAGTTTGTGAGGGATGTGCTGGCAGGAAAAGTTGAAGCATACATGAAGTCTGAACCCATTCCAGAAGATAATGACACTCCAGGAAAAGTAAAGGTAAGTACTCTGAATGGTCTCTGTTCTTGACTGACTTGATCATTGTATCGTTTGAGACTTCTGTTTAATAATGTACTCATTCTAGAAATGGATACATCAAATTTTTACCTGAAGACAAGACCAAGTTTCTTTAAAAAAAACAAACTTTCCAAGAGAGCACCCTGACTGAATACAGACCCCCCCAACATCCGTTCACTGCTCGCTTTCTAGTGTGGAAAAAAAAATCCAAATGAGAACAACCGTTTTAAAAATATTTTGTGGAAGCAAGAAAATCTTTGTCGTACATTTTTTCGTTTAGCAAAGATTTTTCAGGGGGAAAAAGGCTTTTAGTATTGTATCCCAACTTCGTCTACTCTCAGGTCCTCAAATATTACTGTTTCAGAGTTGAATGGGGGGCGGGCAAATCTTATCTTGGATATTGAAAATAGTTAAATGAAAAATGAGAAAACAAGCTGAAGTAAATTCGTTTATCAGGAATAAGTACAGAGAGTCAAGTAGAAACTGAAGGTTCTGTATTAGTCCCGGATGGTACATTCCTTGGAATTTTAAGCTTTACCTTGGCAGTAGAACAGAGCACCCAGCGGGTCCCAGCGGAAGTATAACAGGATCATTATTCACATTTTTAATGACATGTGGCACCTGCCACAGTAAGTGTGGAGATTAGAATTGCACATTTTTGCCTTGTACCCATTGACAAAAAGTATATAATGTTTCTTTGAATATTGTTTCTTGACATGATAACCATTGACCTACTTGCTGCCCTGCTGCATTTGGTTTTGAGCTTGTACCCACACATTTAGGTCAATCAATCAAGCAGTCAAAACATTCAGGGTGTGAATGGTGTCGGTATTTTTTGTCTCTTTGGAGGTTGAGCCTGAAGTAGGGCAAAAACATTACTTATTCCCCACCACCACCAAAAAAAAATAAAATTTGTATGCATTTTCGTGTTATGTATTTTAATGGTATTGTACATATTGCGTTATGAAATTGATAAATTGTCTGTTTCAGGTTGTCGTCGGCAAAAACTTTGATGAAATTGTCAACAATGAAGATAAAGATGTACTTATTGAGTTTTATGCTCCATGGTGTGGCCACTGCAAGAGTCTGGCTCCCAAGTATGATGAGCTGGCTGAAAAGGTGAGCACATGCGGCTGTTTTACTGATTTATAAAAGAACTTACAATATTGAAACAGAGGTTTTGCAGTTGAAATGTCAGCTGAAAATCCATGGACAGGAATTCTGTTTTTCTGTTCCTAAAATGTAGAATTAACCCTGTCCGTACGCCTGGGGTCATTTTGTACCCCAGGAGTTGTATTCTTCACATTTTAAAATACTTATAGTGTGAAGATCTCTTTGAAACTTTCAGTATTTCTCAAAAAATAATTTTGACAGACGTTATGCAAAGCGTACGGATTGGATTGAGTTAATTTCCTCTTTGGAAAGTGGGGGCAGAGTTCCCCATGTCGTATGGATACGATAGTAAAACACGACATATGGATAGGGTTATATAGTAAGAGTTTTTATCAACCTTTTATGTGCTGTGAAGTTTATGACTCAGGTCTATCTTCCTACTCTTAAATAATGACTATATCTTTCACCTCCATATCAGGCAGTTTTGAAAAGGAATTATAACAAAACATTTTTAGAACACAAAACAAGAAGACTTACTTTGTTCGTTCCTTTTTGTTTTTGTAATTTTGTATGAACGTAGTGGGCTCAGGCATTTTACGGGAGATTTGCGACTTATTTCACTTAGCAAGGGGGTGATTTTTTCTTTGAATTAATCTTTCTGTTGAACAAGTAAATAGGAAGTCTCCTGTAGTTTGTATTATGTATTGTATGCAGTTATTTCTATGTATACAAAACTATACATTTTTACATACTGTCTTCATGCTGACACTGATTCCACCTTGTTTTATTTACAGCTGAAAGATGAAGAGAATGTTGTGATCGCCAAGATGGATGCTACAGCTAACGATGTGCCACCCAACTATGAAGTCAGAGGGTAAGCCTCACATAATGATTTTCACACTTACTTACTTCATCATGGGTCCGGCTTTTTAAGTACACATTGCTTGTAGTATTTTACTTTTTCAAGCTTTGAGGAAAGGTTGTTCCCCTGTGTGCACTCAGTAGGATAGAAACAAGACATTTGATTGATGAAAAGGGGTCCAATAAAAGTGTGTGTGTGGGTGGGTAGTGCACATGCCCAGACATGTTGAAACACCAAACCAATGTGCCAGGGTCAAGAAAGATTTCCATCTTATCTTATAATGCTACTGATGGATTTGCCGGGGTAAGGTGCCCATCACTTCTATGAAGGGTGGGCTCCAAAGGCCAGTGGTTGCCATGTACAGATGAACAGTATTTAAAGTTTTAAGTGTGAAACAAAGGTTGTTCTTTTAAATCAATACATAATTTTACAAGTCCACGCCTAGTCATCTGTAGTTTTACACGGCTAATAGTCCAATAGAAAGGCTTTTAGTATTTTTGTAAGCTTTTCTTTTTGCCCTGCTGAAGCTGTAAGCCTAGGTCTATGTAAGAGTCATGTAGAAACTGAAGGATCTTCTGTAGTCTGGGTGTCTGCCACCTGTACAATCGTTTGAATTTTAACCCTTACTGAAGCGGTAGAATAGAGTACTCAGCAGGCCCTAGGAAGAACTTTTCATCGGATGGGTAGTGCAGTTGGTTTCTTTTTTCAACTTTGAATCAAGACAATTGAATAATTTTTTACGGGGAATTATAGAGATAATATCATGAAAGATAGCTTCCAATGCGAATTTCAGACGTGTGTTCTCGTTAGATTTCTTTTCAGCGTCACTTTCTCTTTCCGCAACAATTAGTCCTTTTAAGCCTTTAGTACAACGGTTCAGATACAATGTGTCTTGCCAGTAACTCCATTATCACCAGCAGAGTTAAGCTGAGTTGTTTGTTTTTGTTGTTTTTTTAAAAACATATTTTAAGTTTTGTATCGGTACTAAATATCTGAGTTTATTTGGCTTAATTACACATCCATTTGTTAAAATATCGGGAAAGCTCAAATGGCATTAAAAAATGTGTATTCTTTGTGTAGTAACTTCATATTTTGGATAGAAATATTATGGGTTTAAATGCATTTTTAAAAATTTCACTTTCCAGTCCTCCATGACAGGAATGCAGTTGCCCGGAATGGGCTAAACATATACATGTATTCTGTACGTGCTTTCATGTGACAGACCCTGAGATTGTTATACTCCATATTTTTTCTTCTCAGATTCCCTACCATTTATTTCGCACCAAAGGGTAACAAGAGCACACCCAAGAAATATGAGGTATGGTGTCAGAAATGTTCTTTTGGTCTGCTCATCTAGTTAATTCACGACCTCAGAGTTAGAAAGTTCTATCTTGACATTTTTTGCCATTTTAAGTTGCAGAGATGTCAGAAATCAAATGTTGTAACTGCTCTATCAAAATCGTAAGATTATTCATAGCCATTATCAAGAAATTTAAGGAATTGCATTAGGAAAAGTTTACACGTTGTGATACACAGTTTGTGTTTTTTAATGAGCATGAAAGGTGTTCAGCCAAAAAACAAAAATTTGATAAAAATTCCCAAAGCTGCAGAAAAATGACCGCTCCTTGACCTTTAATTATTTTGACGAGCGCCTGATTTCACCACGCTGCCTCACATATAGTTGTAATCGATTTTACTGTGGGAACAAAACCCTTTCTATCGTATATCATTGCGTGTAGGATACCTATGTGGCTAAAATGAAGGTAAAATTGAGTGCCAATATTTTGGCATAAATCACATGTTTATTTGATAAGACACCAGTTTGATTGTTGCCTATGCAATCTACTGGGGTGTAGCTAACCTAAACATAAAACTACATAATGAATTGCACTCCGGTCTGTGGAAATAAACGTTGCCCTATGCTAGACCCTACATTGCTACCCAGCTTGTTGCTCACATTGCTATAACAAATGCTCGGATTCAACTAAATTGAGGGTAGGCCAGGACAATTTCGTTATATCGGAGTTTCATTGTATTCCTTTTTATTGCTAGTCCTGCTCATTTATTGATGTGACATTTATCATGATTGGTTGTTTTTTTGTGTTTCCTCTTCCCTAGGGTGGCCGTGAGGTGGATGACTTCGTCAAGTATTTGTCAAAGGAGGCTACAGATGGTCTCAAATCAGTTTCCAAAGATAGCAAGAAGAAGAAGAAGGACAAGAATGTTGAGTTGTAAAAGGAACTATTGATTTTATTGTTATAATTTATGATAGCCGTTATCGTTAACAGTAATTCCGCATCGTGTCTTAATATGTGGAGAAGAATGTTTTGTTTGTCTGCTTGTGTTGTCCTTTTCGTAAATCTTGAGCAGTTGAACTTAATTTTTGTACCAAATGTTTGACAAAGAGCTTTGTCCCTAAATCTCTTGAATCGAACCTGCTGATCTAAGACCATATACTATGAATTGTGTTGTTGGTGGGGAAAAGAACCCAGCCATATATATGTTAATTTTCAGCATTGAACACAAATACCACTTGCATGCGTATGAAATTTAAATGCAAATTAAAGACCATCTTCAGCTTGCCATGAGAGGAGACAGTATATGAATGTGAACTTTGATGTCTTTTACTTCTGGTATTTATAGAGTCAGTCTGCTGTCTTTAGTCCAGTGATAAAAGTATTGTTAAAAGCATCCTGTGGTTCCTGATTGTTGTGACCTTGAGGTTTCATCCTATTGTGACAGTACGGCTTCCTATGTTGAAAATGAATTGTGTTTGAACTGGGAAACTTTTGATATTTCAGTGGTATCACTGATGTCTTGAAGACATGTTGATGAGACTGTACTGTAAGCACTTTGCACATATCGATTTGGTTTTACTCTAAAAAGTGTGAAAGCAGTGAGTGTTCATTTTTATTTTTTGGGTGCAATGTTTTTCTGATATTTCGTGTCTTGAATTCCAATTTTAGAGCACAGAATAACAGAATAAGAAAATGAATGCAGTGGACCACTGGTACTAGGCTGTTTCACATTGGTACAATTTTTTTTTAACCTTCATTTCTCATTTTTTTATATTCAGGCTAACAGTACATGTACTAACATTTCATATTTACTTTTGTTTTCACATCATGCAGTTTTGTTTATTTATCCAAGTTCTGTTTTGAAACTTGTTCAGATGTGCATGAGTTGGGTTGTTTTTCTTTTTCCTGTTGTCGTTGGTCGTTGAATAGAAAACTGATACGGAATCCGTTGGTGGTGATTGTTGATGAAACATATGTGGAATTGAGAAATTGTGATTAAAGAATGCCTGACCTGATTTTACAAAGATATTTGTCTTGTCTTTTTTACTCTTTTGGTGAATGCTCAATGTTTTGTTGGTTGGAGGGATATGAAAAGTTTTATTCTGCTTTGAAACAACTTAACTTTGACCTGCTTTTGCTATTTCTGTCTGTCTTGTTACTTTTTGAGGACGCTGTATACTATGATGACCATGGTGTTGGCGAGCCTGTTGTTCTTGTTTGAATTTAACGGGATGGTTCGGGGTCTGAGGGACTTTCGGGTGTGATCCTCCCATTATTTTCCTCTTCCTTTTTAATTTTACTATTGTCTGTATGTTTGTATTGACTTTGAGTGGCTGGTTGGCGGGTGCTCTGGTGTGGTTTGTTTCTTCTTTCCTGTCTAACATCTATCGTCCTTATCTCCCCTTCTTTTTTATGTTTGTTACTCTCTTGTGACACCTCTAATCTTCTGGCGCTCATATGACCTTATGCAGTTTGCGAGCGCTGCAAAACCTCTACTAAAACTTAAAAAACTAATCGACTTTGATGTCGTATATTTTCATTTTTGACAACGAATGTTTCAACAAGGTGTCAAAGAAGACTCAAAATCAATCACGCATCTGTCGAACTGTGCCTGCATTTTTGGTTTTTTTCTTTTTTTTCCCTTTATCTTTGTAAGATATCCCTCGAACTACAGATCCCTACTGAGGCTGGTCCCGGTGCTTTCGAACTATCAATGTTATACTGTGTATAATATAATGTCAATGTCGCATGACGGAAACTGGCAGAAAAAGAGCTACAAGAAAGTCAAACAATAGCTTTGTGCATACTGTGCTAAATATACTCTTCGCTTGACCCTTTTCAACACGGAAACTGAACTGACTTGACTAAATCCAATACATTTACTAATAAAATGTACTAATTGTAATCGGTATTGGTAGATCTAGTTAAGTGTGCTTGGCTACAATATAGCGACGGCCGTTTGTGGTATAATTTTTCTGGTTAGCTTTTGTGCTGTTGCTTGCTGAATGGCTTGGATTCTTGTGTGAGTGAATAATCACCGGTCTGCTTTGGTGCATGATTCCAATTCATCCAGGTGGTGTCGAAGCAGCCTACCTCCGTGGGTGGTTGGCGGGTGCTCTGATGTGGATTGCTTCTTCTTTCCTATCAATGCAAACATCTATCATCCTTATCTCCCCTCCTTCTATTTTGTGTTTGTTACTCCCTTGTAATACAATGTGATCTCTAATCTTCGGCACTTATATGACCTTATTGTGTTGCAAGTGCCGTAAAACTCCTATGAAAAAAAGCCTACTTCCTTAATGGTATAAATTGGATCGGTAGGATAGTACTTTAGTAGCAAACTATTTAGTCAATAAAATTATCTTTGTGTGTGGTTGGCAGGTGCTCTGGTGTGGTTTGCTCCTTCTTTCCTATCAAACATCTATCATCTTTATCTCCCCTCCTTACTTATTTTGTTTGTTACTCTCTTGTAACTCCTCTAATCTTCTGGCGCTCATATGACTTTATGCAGAAGCGAGCGTCGGAAAAACCTCTACTAAAACTAAAAACCTCTAATCTTCAGCGCTTATAAATATGACCGTATTGTGTTGCAAGTGCCACAAAACACTCAAACTAAAACAAAACAAAATTCCCCTTTAGATAGGAAAATTATCGCACCGTTAAGAGGACCTCGCTCGTACTGCTTCCGTATTGTCTGAAACGTCTTGGCTTTGCTGTCATAATGTTTCCCAAGTCCTACCGAAGAAGTGATGGTTGGCAGGTGCTCTGTGGTGGTTTGCTTCTTCTTTCCTTTCAAAAACCTATCGTCTCTATCTCCCCTCCTTCATTTTTGTGTTTGTTACTCTCTTGTAACATCTCTAATCTTCGGCATTTATATGACCTCATTGTGGTTGCAAGTGCCGTAAAACTCTTACTAAAACTAAAATAAAAAAAACGAAATTAGATCGCTGTGGTGTGGTTTGTTCCTCCGTTCCTATCAAACATCTATCACTACCTTTATCTCTCCTTTTATTTGTATATATATATATTATGTTACATGTACTCTCTTGTGATACCCCTAATCATCGGCACTTATTTTAGTTTTAGTATGAGTTTTACCGCACTTGCAACACAATAAAAGGTCACATAAATGCTGAAGATTATAGGTGTTACAAGAGAATAACAAACACAAAAAAGGAGGGGAGATGAAGACGCTAGATGTTTGATAGGAAAGAAGCGAACCACACCAGAGCACCCGTCAACCACCAACTTGACACTTATTTAAAAAGAACTAAGGAAGTTTTTAGCTCAAGTTAGACCTAAGACCCTTGACTGCAGCGATTGGATTTTTTTTTTGCTGGGCAGTTGGGGGGAGTGGTAGGCCTACTGGATTAACTCTTTTTTTTTTTTTTCATCCTATCACTGTTGTTTCTGTCTGCCTGTCTTACTATCTGATCGCACTATTGTTATTGTGTCAATGTTTTCCCCTCTTTTACCCAAGCAAATAAAGAAATGCTTGACTGACTTGGATGGCTCCCGGTTGCGCTGGTGTCATTCGCTCCTTTCCTCCTATCAAATAGTTATTCGACAATTGTTAAGTCTTTAAAAAGTGAAAAGTACAGTGTGGATTTGATTTTTGCTGAAAGTCTACACCTGTCCCCCCCCC